GATTGCACTTAGTATTTAGCCATTTAGGTACTAATTGGACGGAAAAAAATAATTTAAATTAACCGATAAATATAAAAAAATTAATAATCTTCCATTATAATGTGTTCATAATTTGCATATTTGTACCTGGTAACTTTAATTTAACGTCCCACAATGATATTAAAATAGAATAATTGTTATTTAAGTATTGAAGATAAAGTATCGTATTTTGATAAAATATTTGTTATATTTTTACTTTCAAAACTATAAATTAATCCCTCATTTGTACCTAATTTATCAATAACAATAATATTTATTTGTAAAAAAAAAATTTCTAGGATTACAGTATTATTATATAAAAAAAAAAAAAGATAACTACCAGTTTCGGACGTTATCCATTACCAGGTTACTTCTACAATATAAAAATCATGAGCACACATATACAAATTTAAATAATTAATATACAATTAACTAAAAAAATTAAATCACAATAAAAAATTTAAATCTAATAAAAATGTAATTAGTAATAAAAGACATTTAAATAGTTCTGTATAAATCTTTAAAGGAATGTATAACTCAAACTACAATTTAAAAAACTTAATATTTTTCTTCGACACTTTAAATTGTGTTACAATTTTCTAGAACACCAATTTGATATTCATTTTACGTTAAACATTCAAGAATCTATTCTCTGACACATTCTTTTACCGTTCGTGTGCTACAGACTCAACACAGATTAATATTAATTGTTAAAAAAACTTTTTTTGTACATATCAGGACGTGTAACGATATAGTGGTGTTAATATCTAAGAGACAAAATCAGTAACTTGTCAGAGATAAAAATATAAAAAAATAACGTGCAGAAACACAGTATTACAGTATTGGGCATGTATCTGTTCTCACAAAATCGACCCGACCACTGCAATTGCTGAGGACAGGTCAACTTTATATTCATTCAAAGAAATTCGATAGTTTTGGTAGGAGGTACTAGTTACTTCAGCGTTGACAGCCAGGTTCACTGCAGAATCTGAAAATATTCGGATTTTCTAGAACAGGCATCAGCAGACTTAGCCATGGATTATGAATTTAAAAGTAATATTTAAACATTGGGCATTAAAAACTTATAAAAAAAAAAAAAATAATAATTAAAAACGATGACAACATTTTAAAATTATTCCTTCTAAAAATATGTATATATAGATACAACTGTACAAGTATACCTATAGTATGATAATTAATAATAACCTGTATATTATATAAAAGAAGATGTTTTGAGTGACTAACCAATTTACATACAATACTATGATATTCAGATACTTGAAATGTACACTAAAAAGTGATTTCCAAAAATTTGCATTTTAAAGATGAAGCTCACACAAGCTTACAAAAAATTAATATTTTTTTTATTTTATAGGGTTGCCATTGGTTAAGGGAAATTAAATATTTATTATAAATTATTGGAAATAATTTTAGCTAGTATATTTTTATACTTCAATATTCGGTCAAAACCGATTAAATGACTAGCATAATTATATATATAGTCTACATTTAATGAAATTTAAGACGGCGTTATTTAATTTGTCACGGGCAATGTCGTGCAGAATCAGCTATGGTAAATAATTCGTGTATAAATCATATAAATCTAGGTCTATATAATTGAAAATTCTTGTTCGGCTATCAATATAGTAAATTATTATTCTGAACCTCAGTCATTATTAATAATAATTCGGTAACATCTCATGGCCAATGAACACTAAAGTCGCACCAATTTACTTGAAGTTCAAAAATATTGTTTTATTTGCCACAAATTATACTAACATATTCTAATATTCGTAATAAAAATAGCCATCACCCATATGTTTTACATTTTGGGTGGGTAAAACAGTATAGTATAAAAACAGATAAGTTTTATGAAGGATATTAATTGTACCAACAGATTCAAATACAAGTCATAATCTATACATATTTTCACATAATATCATTGAAACGTGTCTTCAGTCGTGTTCAGTCACTCAAGTAGTCAAGTGTTCGTGTTGGACAATAAATTATCACAGTTTATATAGGTACTATTATTATTGAACACCCTAGATGGGGGTCATCGAGTTTCGTGTATCGACTATCGAGTGATACATTTTTGAACATATCCAATTTGTGGTTTTATTTTTTTTTAAGTTTCTTGTGATCGGCCATTTATAGACTGGTAAAATTGTATAAGATAGGCGATTTTTGTCAATTATTTGGCCGGCACTTACTTCATCACGACAGACCTCATCCAGATTTATTCATTCCATAGTTTAACGCTTTGTAATAATATAATTTATTTAATACTGAATGATATGAATAATTAATATTATATTATTGTTTTGAAATTATCCAATTAGTTTACGAATTTAATACAAAATTATAACGATTTACAGTACAGTGATATAATACGACATAATAATGATCAGAAAAATGATTTAATGTAAGACACAAGATTCAGGCGGACTAAAACAAAATAATATCATGTGTACAGTGGTACCTACCTGAACAAAACTTTGTTTTATAAGAATGACGATTTTTCAACATGGTTCAATAAAAATGTATTATATTCATTTTGTCCAAATATATTATTATATTTAAATTCATACTAAGATGACCATATTTATATAAAAATTCAAAATAAGACAAACTTGCTTGGAAAGAAATATCACTATAATAATTTATATATTATATCCCAACATAAATTTATAATTAATAAATTTAATAACACTTTTCAAAGCTGTCTTATTTGGATCAACGTAATGGAGCTACTTATATATTATACTAGCTCGTATAAAAATAAAAATAAATAAATTACGTCAACCGTAACAGTGTAACTTATATGTTTAAGCATAATTTTTGTTCAAATTAAAATTGTTATTGGCTAGCCTACTAATTTACTTTCCACATTAAAAGTGCTTGTAGTATAGAAATAAGGTAATAATATAGATACTATCTATACACACATATTATATACCTATATATATATATATATATATATTAGATTCTGGTAAAAACAAGAAGCTTATTTTTATAAAAATTATTTTCTTCTTTTTCTCTGAACATTTTATTGGATAAAACTATAAAAGGAGTGTTCAAAAACTTCCTCACGGTACCTTTTTAGGTTGGAATTCAATAATAATTTGAGAAAACCATTTTTATTTTCCCGAATAGTTTCTTTTTCTAAGAAAATTTACCAACAACCATTAAGAGAATGTTAAAGAAATATGAGCAAGCATTTAAGAAATTTCAACAACATGATATTAACCAAGTTTTTCTCAGAACCATTATATTAAATTTAATATCGTAATAAACCAATACTCTAGCTCTAGTAAGCCCAGAAAACCTCGTCCCAAGGAGACTGATGTGAGAAGACACGGACCTATGTTTTTGTTCTGTCCAGATTTTTTTTCAAACCTTTGGCTTGAGACTACTATCCACTACTTTTTGGTGTGTCTGTCAATCGGTCTACAAGATAGAAACATATTTGAAACGAAATTGAACGTCCATGATAAAACCGAAAAGAGTATACACTATGTCTATATACTTACCTACTTATTATAGTTTGATTCTGGTGAGTGGGATTGGGTCTAACCGAACAACGAGGCTTTAGACGGATCACGTAGAGAGCGTTATTTCGATATGACCTCATCAATTTTATTCACATTCGTTTTCGTTTTCAAACCGTTCGAATAATGGAAAAACACTTTATATTGGATTGCCAATAGAAAAGTCGTGTTTGATTCATTCCTGTCTTATTCATAGATATATTTAACCAGGTTTTAACCTGATTTAAGCTACACAAACTACATTAGAGCCCAGTTATAAATGTGTCTATAAAGAAGAATGATTATGTTTGATTACGCATGAGTAATATAGATGCATTAATGTCAGCTTCTATCAATACAAATCACGGTTCATTTGAAAATGAAGAAAATCACCTAATTATAATCATACTGAACTTCACAATATTAAAACGGAAATCTCTAATATAAATACGATTAAAACAGTCCATAAAATATTAAAATGGGACCACAGACAAATGGACCATACAAAATCCTCTCTTTTTTATTCGTGTAGAATAAAACCTATTTAATTTTTTCGGAATTGACAATTTATTTACACTGGTATTATTTAAATTTTCAGGATTCGTTTTGAACTGAATCATACCGAGTTATTGTGGAGTATACCTATATTATTCATGATTATTTTTTTGAGATAAATATATTTATTGCACTTACACCATCAATATTATTGTTATAATATATAAACCTAAACCATGTTGTATTAAATAAATTACATAAATAGACGTCTTAACATAACAAAAAAGTTTAATCACTTAATTATTTTTATTGTAGTGAATTTCGAAGGTATTATAATATTGTGTCGATATATGAATAAAAAATAACGCCAGTAGTGGCCGAAAAGAATACTGGAAAGTCAAAGTCCAAGCCAATTACTCGCTCTCTCTATATACAAGATTTTTTTGTGTATGTATTTTCATCCTGTACCAAGTTTTCTTTTCCTGTGGTTTTTGTTTTCCTATACTTGCCGGGGTAGACAAAGCTCAACGGACCGAATGGGTTTTCAACGGTGTTATTATTATTATCTGTTTTTTTCCGGCCGGTGCATTCGTATCTTCAGACATTCAGGTCGTTCGTTATCCACTCGGCAAGACGTGCTCACCGGATTAGTTTTTATATTTAAATTTATTTTTCTTCTACCATTTACTTTTAATAATAATAATAATAATAATAATAATAATAAAAACTTAAGTCAACCGAGAAAAAGATTAACATCTCTTGAAAAACCTAAGTCTCTTTTACTACAACTGAAGACTATTTGTGTGTGTGTCGTTTGTACGTCTTAAAAAAACAACACCATATAACATCTGTATTTTTTGTTTGTGTTCCCAAGGTTGTTGGTGTTCAGAAGACGAGGAGCGTCTGGTTAGAGATCTTTTCAGGGGCTACAACAAACTAATCAGGCCAGTCCAGAACATGACCGAAAAAGTCAATGTACAGTTTGGTTTAGCATTCGTTCAACTCATCAACGTGGTATGTTATTACAATATATATTATATTATTAACTATCTATACAATATACCTACCTAATAATTATATTATGTGCGTCTGATTTTAACATTATTTATAATCAGTGTTCGATTCCTTATAATAATATTCAATTTGAAATATAAATATATGCATTTAATTCATGTTAAAATATGTTAAACTTCACAGTAGTAAATACAATTAAAAATGTTAAAATGCTGAAATATAAATAATTGATTCGAATAATATTTGTTTAACTTTGAGTAAGTGACACGATTTGTATTTTCATTTAATAATAATATAATACATTGATCGGCGTACATTTATTATTTTCTTTTAGGGCATTATAAAGCTCCTATTTTTTGTACATAGCCATATCATAGGTTATGTTTTTTTCCACTGATTCTCCCTCCTATACAAAAGTTGTGTAGGTTTTCACCACTGGCCTGATTAATATTTATATAATTTTAATTTTAAAGTTAAATTAATTTCATAAATTATATGAAGTCCCATCAATGATGGCCTCTTCACTGAAAACCCCCTGTCCGAATTAATGTAAATAATAACTGTAACTTCTCAACTTGTTGTTATGTTACCCACATTATTTGTTTTTTTTTCTAATTCTTTCTTCACTTGTGCTTATTGTAAACCTTAATTTACAGATTGTACAATTTTCTAGTTTTAAAATAAAATAAAAAAAAAAAAAAAAATTGAAAGTATTATCAAACAATTGAATTTAAAGTAATGGAAGCTTACCCAACTACTAGAGTATCTCACGCTAGCTGACATTTCTTCAAAAATGTTCGATGGATATCTGTAATCTTTTCTTTTGCTCCTCAGAGAAATAATAATAATGAACACAGTTTAACAATCTAAATTTACCTTTTCATATTACTATCTATAATCTATAAATGGTTTACAATTTTACATCATTATGTTTACCTTTAAACAATATTTATAAGTATGTAAGTAACAATAATAAAATATATCCATTCCTCAGCTATAATGTATATGGATTCATATACCAAATGCAGTAATACGTGTATCTATTATAAAAAGAAATTAGGTTTCCGTACTACATTAAAACACATTATGAGTGTAATATTAATTAATAAATATATTTAACAATATAACGAATTTTCTTTTTGTATAGGTAGCATGTATGTATTATATTATTATGAATTCTTTGTGAAAAGTTAATTTGAAACATAGGTACAAATACACTAAAGGGCATTAGGACATTATTTATTTAGTTATGTGTTTAGTTTAAAGTCGATTAAAGCTAAATAAATTTACTAATACTAATTATCAAACTAAAATAACAAACTATTAATTAGTTAGTTATAACTTAAAGCCAACTATTAAATTATCTAATTAAATAATATGTGTCTTAATTGTTACAGAATGAAAAGAGTCAAATAATGAAATCAAACGTTTGGTTGAGACTTGTGAGTAACCTACTTGATATATACATATATTTATTTTCAGTTAGTATACTAGAAAATTAAATAATAAACAGTTTCTTTTTGACGAATTACACTTCCTAACCGCCTGTCGTATAAACGATTAATGCCACTTAAAATGGAGGAAATCTACTCTGCGATTTTTCTCTTTAATATTTGCTTGACTGCAGACCGTTCGTTATTATTTTCTTCAATTAATCAACGTAATTGGCGTCGTTCTATTTCAATGTCCGTTTTACATATTTAATTTTTTTAAATTATTTTTCACTGCAGATCATTTTGAAAACGTTTACGCAGTTTTAATTTATAAATTGGTCGAGTATCCATTTCTAAGGGTTTTCTTTTCACAAACCACCACTTTTCGTTTAAGTGGGCAAAACAAATTAAATGTGATAGCGATGACAATTATATAAGCACATTTTGTCTCACATCATTTTTTCTACACGCTAAATGATTTAATAACCCTATATGAGATTTGTAGGATCTCTAAGACAAATACGAGAGTTAATTACCTATTACTTTCTATTTTTTTTTATTTTACTTGTTACTTAAAAACAATTTCAACATCTTTAGTACCCATTTATAACAATTAGACAATTACCTAATCTGTTGTTAATACATAAACATGTATATAGAGTACATGTATTAATTGAATCAATAAGCTTATAATATACCTAATTATTGCTTCAGCATATTTTAAATTAGTTTTAATTTATGAGTGATATAAATGTTTCAACTATAGATATACAAAATAAAACAATTCTAGTTAATTTTATATTTATTACTTATTAGTTTTTGCAAAAAGTGTTCACTACCACAGAACTGATTTTCTAAATGGTTTTTCTTTAAATAATGGAAAAAAATACTGTAAAATAATATAATTTAAATATTTTAATTACCTATGAAGATTATGTAATTTAAATTTTTATAAATTATTCATAGTTCAAGAGCAGAAATATGGATTATCTTAGATCTAACTCGCTGAAGGTATTATGTACCTAAAATTTGTTTGATACTGTGTAAACCAAACCAAAAAGAAATATAACATTTATTTTAATAATTAAAATACTGTGCACCTATAGTATTATAAAAGTTAAATACAATTTTAGAGTCTAAGGTGTGCTATTTTAAAAATCATACCTGTTATAATTGTATACTAAAGTCTACAATTATTAACAATATACCTAATTTTAGACTTTAAAGGTACATATAATTGCATATACTGGTTTACATGGTACCTACTTAAGTTACCTAACATAAGCATAAACTCACCTCAAGAGCTTTTTGACTTACAATATGTCATGATTTGCTACTTAAAAATATAAAATAGGTACGTATTAAAAAAATAATCTGTATTTAAAAATAAAATACAAAAATATCCTAATATTTTTTTAATTTCTATAAAAATAAAATATATATTTTAACAATAATAATTAAAAATCATTTTAATTTCATCTTATTATACTATGCAAATAATCAATCTAATTGAGTTTATAAAAAATGTACAAATATCAAAAAATATATTTTTCAATTTTTCATCTTAAACTTCTTACTCAAAATAGGTAATAATTATAATTATTTTACTAGCGGAATCTATATCATGCAAAAAAACTATAATTACATTTATTCATACGATATCGCATACAAATAAGGTATTTTAATAAGTAAGAACAAAAATTGTTTTCTTCTATACATGGTTAGGTAATAGTTCCTATTTCCGTGGCTCATATTTTAATTTTAGCCTAAATAAGACAATAAATAACATTCAAGTTCTTACCTTTCAATAGTCTCCTTGTCAAGACTTCAAAAGAGATAGAACGCGAGTTGATGTTTTAGTTTTGACTACTATGATTGATGATAAACGGAATACCGTTTTGTATTGTGATTGTCACTACAACCATCATAAATATTTAGATTTTAGACAATATAATGAACATTTGTCATTAGCGTAAGCCAATAGAATTAACTTAAAAAGTAAAGGAAGCACTCTGATTGGCTGCTTTTGTTATAGCGAGACCATAGAATGTCACACCCATCATATGTTTATTTTGTTATAAATTAATGAATTAATGTAATAATATTATTAGGTATCAAATAGTTTAATTAGAAGATTATGCCTCGCAGTCCAAGACGTTCCAAATCAATTTCTAAAACAAAAATTGTGTAATACATAAATTTCATTAGAATGACGATTGACAAGGTTATTTCATATTGTTTTAGCCTTTAGGATGTTTTAGTTATAATCCTCGTTCCCCTAAATACAAGTCACCAAAGTTGTGGAAATTGCATATAATATAATTTTAATTCTGACGTAATTGGAACTAAAATAATGGGTAGGTATATTTATTTTAAATAATTCATTAAATTAAATAAGACTATGAGCCTAGAACTTGTTTTTTGTAATAATTTTTCAAAATTACATTATATTAACTAATACAAGCCTTAATATATGAAAATTGATAAATAAATTCTGGTATTACAAATTAGGTCAATCACGTGAAAAAATATATATTTAAGGATTTTGGGCAGCACCTTATATTACTGGTATTATATACTAACGTAAATGAAACGGTGATTTAGTATGTCATGTAGCAATCGTGTATCAATTTAACTTGATAATCAACTCAACTAATTAAATACATATAGATTTTGTATTTTTGTGTTCATAACGCAGCATGACCGTGCGGGTACAATATATTATAGACATTGCTTAAACATTATTTGTTTAAAAACAAATAAATTAAAGTTCGAAAGAAAAATATTTAACACATAAGATGAATGATGAATGATAAATATATTTTAAAAACGGTTCTAATTAAAATTAAAGTGTACTATATTTTTTTATTGAAAAAAACCTTAATTTATTTTGATTTATTGAGAAATAAAATTGTAAATAAGAAAAAAAAGGTGGGTAAGGTTATGTCGCTCTGCTGTACAGTAGGTTACAAGTGGGTGGCTGTAAAGGATGGTGTTAAATTTGAATTCAATGATATAATATCATTGTATAAGAAAAACGATTCTGATCGAAAACAGTCAGTCAGTCAGCTATGATATTACTAACTACATTTGATGATATTATTGTGAATAAAGTAATTTATATATTTACCTATTTACGAGGACCCTTGTTTTAAATTTTGAATCCTTAGCTATAAAAGTTGAACATTTTATAAATTTTTTAACTACAAAATAATTGTTAAATTTCAAATGGGATAAATTTTGTCAAAATTCGAACTTTAAATGCTTATAAAAAAAACTGTGACTAAGGATTTTCAATATTTTACAAATGTCATTACAACAATATAGTAGGAGCTTTGTAATACATTTTCAAGTATTTGTACTGAACAAATAAGATTTTATTGATATTTATAGAAAAAAAGTCAAAATATTTGGAAAATGTTATGGTGTATAGAAAATGCTTATATAAACATTCAGTCGAAATGCCATGTACCTACGGCCATTTGTTTTTTAATTGCACCAAAAACCAAAATCGATTTTTTCAAAAACAGATTTTGAGTACAAATTTCCGTTTTTCCTTAATTTTTTTTTTTGTTTCCTGGCGCTTTTGAAAACTACTGTAAAATTTTTATTTTTGACCCCCCAAAGTACCAACTAGATTCCCTTTCGTATCAGAAAAGATACTGTTGAAGAAAATCTTAGCATTTTTACTGTCCTAAAAGGTAATGAAGGACACAAAAAAAAAAACACACATAATTGTTAGATCAATACATTCATCGTTTCACTCAGAATCTAAAAGACTAATAAAATTGGAAACTGAAAATGTTCCTAAATAGTTCAAAACAAATCAATGTTTTGAAAATTTTATCGTATATAGAAAATGCAAATATAAACTACCAGAGAAAATGTCATGTATATATTCATTTGTTTTAGAGTTAAACCAAAAACCAAAATCGATTTTTTCGAAAATAGTTTTTGTGTAAAAATTCCCGTTTTTCCTTAATTTTTATGTTATTTTTCCCGTCGCTATTGAAAACTATTGAGAATTTTAAATGTTGACCTCCTTATACCTCAAGATATTGTTGAAGAAAATCCAAGCAGTTTTACTGCACTAAACCATGATGACAGACACAAAAAAAAACACACATCATTGTAAAATCAATACATTCATCATTCCACTCAGAATCTAAAATGACTAGTTAAACGCTAATTCTGTGTTAATTTTCAAAAATAAGCATTTATCATTAGAAAATAATTAATATAGCAGTTATATGTATATTACAACTACCGCAATATTTTTTGTACATAATGAACAAATAGGGATATCACAACAATTTTGAAATCCCATTTTCCGTAGTTAACTCTCTGGAGAATACAAGGTTATAGAGTATGCACCACTGAACACCCAAACAACAATCACGTGAAATTGAGTAATTCCCAGAAGATTACCTACAAGCAACAAACGTTCAAATAAATTAAAGACTAAGAGACAAAACCATTTTAGCTTTACACTGTCTGATAAGGTAAAAATTAATAGCGCATCATGCATAACATTTTTCCAACTCTTCGTCGATTTTTTTCAGGGCTGGGAGAACCTACAATCAATAAATCACACATTGGGATAATAGGCTCATATGAATGGACGGGTACTCTTGAAATTTACCAATGTCAAAAATATAAACAAATGCAGATTATTTCAGTTTAGTTTTATCGGTGTGATTTAAATCATTCTATTTTGTGATTGGGTAATCTAATCAATTTTTTTGTAAACATCTATCTAATGAAATCAACATATTCAAAAAATATTATATATTTACGGTTTTTACATTTTTTCTTAAGTTGATATTTTACACAAGGTCTTTATAATATCTTAAATTTATTCAATCCCAACAAAAGCATTTTTGAGTGATTAATTTAATCTTTAAATTATAGATTCAAAGTTTTATACATAATATAGTAAAAATATAGTAAATAATAAGAGTAAATATTTATTGTTATATAAGTCATATAGACATGGTTTTATACACAATATACAGAATTATATAAGTATAATTAGGATGTACCTACATATTAAAATAGTTATAATATGACAATAGTAATATAATATGTCGTTACTCGTTTCAAATATATATTATGCATCATATTGTGTAGTCACATAAAAACGTTAATATTTTAAGGGTTTGACAAATAGTAAATAAATAATAATAATAATAATATTAATTATTTAATTACAAAAATATAAAGCTAATAAAATTGTTAATTTATTATTTTATTTAAGATTTTTTGAAAACTAAAAATTGAAAATCTATAATGAGATAGAGGTGTACAGAAAATAAGTTTCCTCAAAAACGCTACTATGAACTATATTACACTTGTATATCAAACTCTCTAGGGTACTGAATATTTATTTGCTAGTAGAACTAACTTTTGACCCGATCAAATAAGTTTCAAACCTATAATTTTCTAAATCTGTTTTCCAGAGAATTTAAAATTAAATTTGAATTTTGAGAGTTGAAAACTAAAATGATTACGAATGATACATTGCTCGATCAGTTTCGTAATTCTTGCTGACAAATCTTGGACATTTCTATAACTGCAATATAAACAATTATTATTGTTGACATTGAATCAAACACTTTGAAGCGTAAACTATAAATTATAATTTCTATTGAAAATACTTTAATAGAAAAAATTATAAATCATTGTATGACCAACGTCTTCCTTGTTTACTTCAGAATCTTAAATAAAGATTAAATTTAAATACAATTTTCAAGTGTACCTATCACATAATATTTAATAAGTATATGATTGTTTGCACCTACTTTTAATTTCGAAAAATCAATATTCATATTTCATAGTTAGTTTATTATAATTTAATGACTATTAAAATATTTTGTCTTCATGAAATATTCTTGTTCATTAATTTATATTTTTCAATTTGCTTGACATGGTGGTTAACTACTACTTTAGGCTTTATTTAATAGTTTTCTATGTTTCTTTTGTTATAGGTATGGAGGGACTATCAATTACAATGGGACGAAGCAGACTACGGTGGTATACAGGTGCTCAGGTTACCACCGGACAAAGTGTGGAAGCCGGATATAGTGTTGTTCAACAAGTGAGTAAAAGTTATTTCGACGTACACGGTACGCAGCGGGTATGAACGGATTACAATGGCAATTAAACGGATTAATTTGTATCTAAAAGTTTCAAAACAAATAGCGTGTACTAGCCCAAAAGAACCGACAAGTTTTGTGTTTAGACTACTAGTAACTCCAAAATAAAACCAATTATGGTTATAATCTAGGAAACTAGAAAAATAAACGAATAAACAACAATAATTTCTCAAATTTCCCAAATGGGATGAGATTGTGAGGAGATATATTATTTTCAAAGATTATAACTGCACTGTAATATTTGTTCGTAGTGCTGATGGAAATTATGAAGTTCGTTACAAATCGAACGTGCTCATTCGACCAAATGGAGAACTTCTATGGATACCACCGGCAATTTACCAGGTATGTGTAGATAATAGGCATTGATAATATTTCACTGAACATAAACACTCAAAGCTCAGATTGTCAAGGCAATAAGATATTAAATCAAAACAAATTAATACCACGTAAATATTAATTGTTAAGTGTATGCACTTATAAATCTGTATTTCTGTGGAAATCTGCATTAAGCAATTTAATTAAACATTTAAAATCATTTTTATTTAGTTTTTGTATTATAGCTAAAATATAGAAAACCTTTATGAGAAGCAATATAAGAGGCCTTATAATATAGAAGAAAATAGTACCTAATACTTAATTATCAATACAATAATTTAAATGTAATTATATAAAAGAAGAGGAATTCAATTTTACTGGTAGAAAGTAAAATATAGTCGAAAGTAAATATTTATTTTACTACTTTGTGCATTATAATTAGTAATTTTGTGAAAATCTGATTGCTCGTGAGTATGAAGAACATTAATTAATAAGTATTTTAATATTAGAATAAAGGATACTAAAGTAGAAAGTTATATAATTGCTAGGTACGTGTGGATGAAATATTGGTTGAAATCAAATAGGTACGTATCCAATGCGGGTGTCAATATGGTCACCAATATCATATATCAAGACCACCCCAAAACATTTAGTATTTTAATATTTTATCTGCATTTGTAAAAACAAAATCCTGGCTACATGTGTTGCATTATATTTATAATAGAACATAAATAAATATAATATTAAAACTATTATTTACGATAACTTTACTATACATTAGAAAATCATTGATAATTAATATTAGGTTAAAATAGTTAAATAATATATAATTTTGTTAATTATGTTATCTATTATTGTTAAGCTTATAACAATATTATTGGACATTTTTTTTTTAATAGGACCAATAATAATACAAATTTTAAACAAACCTAGGATGAAATGATTAAAATACAGAATACTCCCTTTTATTTACTCCCAAATTATAATTAAAAACGTACATTATGTAAATTATACTTTAAATTAATTTCGAAATGTATGAAATGCTCTCTTATTCATTAATGAACACTTCCCAACCCTTTAATGAACACTTAATGTCATGAGTATTACGTAAATGTGTTAGAACAAAACACATAAACAAACATAAAAGGTTTATAATGGCCGTTTGTTAATACATACTTGGCTAACACAAACGATTTCAATACGCTTCCGTTTTATATTATTTGATATTTTTTATTATTATTGCATCAAATGAGTTTTTTAATAATTCTAAAATGTATAGGTAGTATTAGGCAAGTACATTTTATATACATAGTATTTAGTAAAAATACATTTTTATAATTTATAACAAATTTTAACACTACGTATTTCTGAATCTATAGATTTTATACATTTTAATATTATAAGGAATATAATAAATTATATTATTATAGAAATTAACATTATTTTGATAGAAAGCCATTAATTAGTAAAAATAATATATATAAAAACCTAAATTATTTAATTTCTGGTTTCAAAACTAAATAATGTGTTTCAAAATGTCCTGCAGACTTAGGTATTAAATATTTAAATATATTAATAGTGTTAAGACACTTGTACAATAAGTACATTATGGTTACTTAATTACAATCAAATAATACATAATAAATTGTATAAAACAACATTACTAGGATAATAATTAGTAAGAATTAATTAGACAGAGATTTAATTTCTAGTAGGTAGGTATATGTTATATAAACTTATTTAATTTAATTATAAATAAGAAAATCCCACTTACAAATAACCATAATAATATAATAAATACGATTCGTATTATCAATCTTAAAATTTAAATATTATAATAATTCGTAAATAATTCACTCTTTCTTCAATTATATTGGCATAACGTCTGACTTCTAGCGTATATTAATTAAGTGTAAAATTCATCTGAATAGTTGAAAAGGTAATACAATCCTTAAATCGTCTAGGTCACACAAATAGCAATATGCAAGCTCTTTGACAGAGTAATGAAAATTTAAATAGGAATTGATAAAACAAAACTTCTGGATTTTGTAGATATGACATGAGTCAAAGGAAAAACCATACCAAACTAAAATGCATATAGTCTGATTTCATGATATTTAATAACGAGATGTTAAAATAAACATGGAAAACTTTTTCAATAACATGACATAATACCATACTCATAAAATTAGTATTTTTCGTTATTAATTAATTTATATGATTATTCATTTTGAATAGATATTATTCCTTTACTTTATAAATATAATAATATATAATATATTTATTAAATTGAAACAAAAACTGTATATTAAAGGACCTATACATAGTGTGTATAATAATATATTAAACTGTCATGTTTGTTACTAATTATGTAGTATATTATATTAATTCCTTTTAGATAAACATAAATATTATAGAAAATATAATACTTACTTTCTATAAATTAATCCATTATACACCTATGTAACTTCCTAAGTTTACGACTAAAATTATTTCCAACACATGCTTGAAAGTTCAATTAATCAAACCATCTGATACCACAAGGGAACAGCTAGTACATTTGATACGGAGTACCTACCGAATAGGAAACGTTCTGTGCGCATGAATCAAACGAGATATTTCCTCCGGATACTATTATCGACGCCTCCGTCTCTTATATTATTATACGCCAGCTAAGATAGGAGAATACCGGAAGTGGAGTCAGATTTCTCCTTTGCCACCCTTAAAACGTTTCAACAGGAAATCGAATTTTAACCTACTTATTAGCATCTTTCGATCGAGATTACAATCCGAATGATATCATCCCTTCAATTGAATAAGTATCCAATTATTGAATCTATAGAGTTAGAGTATGCCTAATGCCTATGCATAATACCGCAATCGATGTTTATTCGAAGGATAAATTTGATATTTATATCATTACTTATTTCAATACTATTTTATCTTACATAATATTATTATTGCGTTACCTAATATTAATTGTATACAATTTTTATTTAAACATATTTAGGGGGACGAGGTGGCCAAAGCGGTCGAAACACGTCTTTGCGGCGCTGCTGTCTGCGGGTGCGATGCGCTCGACCACTGTGCGGCATTTTCTCCGGGCAAGTCCGGTTTCCGGAGAACAAGTGCCGCCATCCCCCCACTCCGGGGCATGGCAGAAACCTACGGGTGCCCCAATAAGAAATTTCTGCCATATTTAAACTAATACCTACTATATCGTTCGTCGGCATCTGAACCATAATAGCCTAATCATTATAGGTATTCATGTATATTTTTAATGTCACAAATAAAAACAATGCAAATGACTAAATGACAAATCAACTTTTTACTTATACTTTTAAACACTCATACAAGTTGACGAGAGTTATCAAATTCTAGATAATATTATTATTTTAGTATATTTATTTTAGTTTTCAGTACTTACCTATAACTAGTAGGGATTGAAATTTTAAAATAAACATATTTATATTACATACCTATTTTTTTGTTTTGCAATCTTGTCCAACTTCAGTGTATAAATTATTCTACTGTAAATATACAGAAAGGCAATACTTTGTTAAAAATATTATGTCATAAAATATTAAGATATTATATTGTAAAATAAAATGTTTATTTAAATCATCATAAAATATGTAGGTAGGTACGTAATAACAAACAAACAGAAATCAATAAAATCGTAGGTAATGTAAAATTACAAAAAAAATTGACTACTTTGAGATTATCTAGTTATTCTCTCCCCCCACCCCAAAAAAAAATAGATATTTATATTAATATTTATTTATTATTTATCTACCTATCCTATAATAATGTGAGAGGCATCTGATCAGTTATTACCTATTAATCACTGTCAAAAGTTGGTGATAATACTGATGTTCATAGTAATTTAATTTAGAGTGATGAAATAAGCTGAACAAGCTTAGCTTTCCTTAGAAGTTATTATAAAATACAAAAATAATAATAATGCGGAATGTAAATGATACAAATCAACACTCAAAAACGTAAATGGTTGTACCTACTATTGTGGATACATCACATTTAAGTTAACCAATAATTGAATACTAATTAAAGATAATTAATACATTTTTTTAACAATGTAATTAACGTTCTAGTTTAAATTTTGTTACAAATTTGTTTAAATCAATAACCACCATATTATTATCCAGCGTATTTTCCCACGTGACGAATTGTATATTTGTATCTATATAAAACACGTTATGTGACATTTAAAAATTTTATACATATTTTATCCGGACCTTGGAGAATTAAACAATTTTCAAACCGAATGAAGCTGAGTATAATTCCACGTTGTGTACCTACTATTAAAATGTAATAAAGAATATTGTAAATCTTATAATGAGCGTCCAGTAGTGCCCATTTCTAGATTAGTTACATCTTACAAAATATTACCTTAAAAGTTATTAAGATAAGTGTTTTAAATGCAGTTATAACTGGATAGCTTTGGATTGATTTATTGGAATTAACAACAAAAGCTATGTATAAACGTATAAACGTGCTGAACGTGGTGTTCAACTCTACTCGACATGGTCTTGTGTGAACTAGACCTTAGACCTTATCATTATTAATAACACGCTAGGTATCATCGTTTTATTCGTTACTCGATTTTGGTCCAAGGTAAACCTAAAGTTTGAAACGACGACTAGGGATAGGTATTCTGCCATTAGGTACTATTCAGGTTGTCACCGTCATTTATTTTAGTTAAAAAAAAAATAAAATTTAGAAGTTAGAAATACCCCTAACTACATTAACAACTAAGCTCACAATAACCCTCCATTATAAAACATCGTACTAACCTTTCCTATTTTAGTCCTGAAATGGAACTCTTAACCACCTGACATCCCATAGTATAAGTCATTCTTTAGTTATCCAAGAACAGATAATTTTCCAGATATCTAAATATCAGTAGGTACCCGGTTAGATTAAAGTCAATACTTTCGTTCTGTTTTTCGTGACAATAAGGACGCTCTCCCCCACAATATGGTGAAAGTAATGTCTGCCCGAGTCAGGGTCAGCGGTGGTTCTCCGTAACACCTCATGTTCGAAAATGTCATGACACTCATGAGTACCAAACATAATCTTACCGATAATATATGACTACACTATTCACATATGTTATTATTTATTCTTCATTTTAAAAACATCAAAAAAGGTGGCTACGGGGGTGTCAATTGGCCATGTCATAAATCGTAAAAACGTCCGCTGACAAACGAGAAACAATAATGTGGCAGCCGTAGTAAAAGAAATTATGGTCAGGGCTGCATAGTGGTGGTGGTGGTGTTGGTGTGGGGAAATTAATGTGGTGCCAGTGATTGGTGGGCTGGGGGATAGCGGTCAGAAACACGTCGTAATCAAAAGGGCGGCGGAAGAGTGTCATTAATAATACGCGCACGCAGCTGTCGGAAAGCGTCGGCAATTTTTCGGTGAATTTCTCCGAAACGTCTGTGGGTTTTCACAATTTAATAATAACTATACGAAACAGCAGCCACCGTTGGCGGAGTTAAACGGCTGCCGAGATAAATGCCGCCCGGAGACAAATGCTCGCGCGGGGCCGCTGACACTGTATATCGTGGGAGGGCGGGCAGGTGGTCGGATGGACGGGAGCGGCGCGCGCACGCATCGTCCCACGCCTTTCGCCCATCGCGGTATACGCTCCGCAGTCCGAGCGCGCGCCTCCTCACCGTGGATTCTACTATATACCAGAGGTGGTATTATATATAAAAACGATTTTCCAGCCTTTCAACTGCCGTCCATCCGTCCCATCGCTGTCTGTTTGACCTTTGATCAATAACACACTATACCTACCTCTCTTACACGTCGTTGTGTGTGTTGTGTGATGTGTGGTACATTTTATACTTACACTAACACACTTGTTCACACACCACTGGTACGTATTCGGTCAGTTGCAGGTGCGGTCACAATAAAAATGAACGAGAAAGACTAGAGGGAGAGAATAAGAAGCAAATACACTGCACATAACACTGTTCTCGTCAATCTCACTGGCCGATTTCCACTACACACACAATTATTTAAGACGCTTTTTGAATCACAATTCAAAAGTATCGTCTTTATATGAAAATAAAACTAATACCAAGAAGCATACACACACACATATACACACTAAAAAAATATATAAAAATTGTATAGTTGCATTTACTTCACAATAATAATACAATATTGTTCCGCTTGTTAACGTAATTGTAAAAGTAATGCGATTGATCGGACAAAATTAAATTGTATACATGATATCATAATGTTATACAAACATATTTAATATCAGATCATGTCTTGTATTAATACCAATAAAAACTAAATTTATCGTCATCTTCATAACGCTTATCATCTCCGAAGCTGGAAGAAGAAAAAAATTGTGTTTCTCCAAATCGACATGCGAGTCTCTCCGAGACTTAATTTTGCTACCTTATGTAATCAAGCCTCTCTAGTGACAGATCCACCACTTACTCAAGGCTAGGTCACGGTCAACTTGAGCTCTCCGCCGACAGAAAACGATAACCCACAGCTAATATTTATTAAAAATACTACCAACCTCAATGTGCTAAATCACGATCTTATCCCAACTTCAAAACCAGATTTGTTCAGGTTCTCAACATAAAAATATTTTCTAAAAATTATAATACTGAACTGCAGCTTTCACAAAAAATTTTTGAAGTTGGTATAAGTGTATAACTTATGGAGTCCGATATGTTATTTTACACATTCAAACCTCTACACGTCCGTCCATTTAAAGTGGTAATTCGTTACCTGCATCACTCCATTCCCATCGAATATATTTAAATGGCATCATCAGAATTGGGTTTTTCCGTTCTCAACGTCTCAAGTATCCTTAATAGTAGGTATCAACTAATTACTACAGTCACTATTTTCTATGAACTTTTCTAAAAACGAGTCTAACCTAAACATATTTAAGCTGACAAAATTGCTTCACATTAAAGTCATCGACGAAAAACCCAGAAAAGTTCGCCAACAGCCACAAAGTACGCGGTGCCAATCGTACGACCACACTCAAAGATATTATTGCTATCCAGCACCAGTACGTTGTGTTAAATGCGGCCTAGATAACTTCACTGACGCGCGACGACTTAAGTCGCTTAATTACCGGCCATAATGGCTCTATGTTCTGGCGCGCACCCCATCTCATAAAAAGTTACAACAATGATTCTATTTGTTCAAATAGTAAAAAACCAAAAAGATAAAACGTTTCCTAAGGTTCCGGCAACCACGGTTCTAAATGCTCATACAGTCATACCCAGCCCAGAATGAAAACTTATGTAGTAGTCGTGACAAACGACAATTCACCGTCAGAAATCGTCTCTACTTTCAAACTTGAATTCAATCAGTCCACTTATTTCCATTCTCTCCTCTGTTCTAAATACATTTATCGCTTAAGGCACCATTTTTCTCCCTAATCTATTTATGTTTAATATTTCCTCACCTATAATTATCCCCAATCAGCTCTATAATTCCCTCATTAGTTCAATCGTCATTTATAATCATTCATATTAATTACTACTCCCTATTCATACACCTAACTATAAATTTAGTATTAGTATTAGCCTACTAATATTAGGCTGCTGTCACATTTTAAACATTTTACTTTTTTTTTAAAATATTTTTTTAGTTCCTTAAGAACTGTCAGACACTAAAAAACGTTCAGTCAATAGTAAAAGGTATACGAAATTTTTAGATGACTATAGTCTATTTCAAGAAAAATTAGAAAACGATTGTAATTACCAATATAATATTATCTATTTATTAAAATTATTCGTTTATAGTAATTAAACCAATAATTTAATAATTATTATTTCTTAACTAATTAAGTGCTAATTAAATTATATAAAAAATAATGAAAGTTAATAGACAAAAACATTGCATTGCCAAAACCTGTAATTGGTAACAAAAATAATCTGCATGTATACATCTAAACAATCATAAGATATTAAAATTAGGTTAGTTATTAATTAAAAAAATATTAACCTGATTCAGGAATATTATAAGTTTTAGGTCTAGTATCATAATTTCATAAGGATTTTAGAATAGGTGCCTCTATACATCATACATTATAATATTGTGTAATTGTGTAACATAGCTCATAGGTACCTTACTGAGTAAAGCTTACTCGATCATAAGTCTTATGAATCGCTTATATTTGAACAAAACATCGTTATATACTATTATATAAATAAAATTAATTTTATTATAACTATAAATATACATTATATAATATATGACACACTGACACAGTAAAATATTAGGTCACGAAAACATTAAATCAAAATATCATGTGAATAAATATTAATATTCATTATTTACCCTGTAAAATATTGCTATAGAATTCGACGAAGCTGCAGAATAACAAGATGTAATCGTGTTTTATATTTACTGGCTGTACTAACACTATATTATCGCGTTTAAAAATGTTTTCTATACGACACTATACGATTTATTTCGATTGAATTAATAAATACATAGGTAAGTAAATAGAAGACATGTATGAATATTTTTTTATTTGAAAACCTAAGAAAAGAATATTTCAAACATAATATACAAATAATTGCATTTATTCGTTCACTAATAAGCAGGGCCTTGCACCTGAATTAACCCGTAACACACTTAAAAACACTTGAAAAATCAAACACCCGAAAACCATATAACTCAAATGATTCTATTTTCAAAACACCCGAATTAACCAAAACCAGAATAAAACATTCTGGTTAGGTACCCCGAAACTCGAATAATTTTTTTATTTTACAACCTTCATGTGATATAATATATTTTTGTCTATATTTTTGTCTATATTTTATGTTTTTAGTTCGATTGTGTAGTTAATTATTTGTTTAATAATAACAATATTTGGACATTTTGTTAAACAATTAAAATTAAAAATAAATATCTAATAAAAATAACTATAAAAAATTATGTTTTTTCTGAACTACCTACTATAAAGTATAAACACTCGTATTAACCAATCCGAATAATAACAGTTATTAACACCCAAACGTATGTTTAAATTTTTTATTCTGGTGTTGGAACAACCGAATACATGCAGCACCAAAAACCCGAAACCCAAATAAATATCATTCGGGTGCAAAGCCAAGTTTGTTAACAAATACAATAAGATTTAAATTTTAAATATATTACTACAAATATTGTATTGGAAATATATATTAGAAACAGGTATTACCAATTTTTATTTTGCTCGCGTTGGTGAAACTATTATTATATTATAATGTGCATACAAATAATTTATAAAAGAAATACAAATCATATTTATTATGTGTCCCTCACTCTCTTACTATACCTATATAGGTAATGTTAATATTATGATATTAATTATCTTAAATTAAATAATATCTAATGTTTTTTTTTTATTCACAGAGCTCCTGCACCATAGACGTTACATATTTTCCTTTTGATCAGCAAACTTGCATAATGAAATTTGGCTCTTGGACATTTAATGGCGATCAAGTATCGTTAGCGTTATACAATGACAAACAGTTCGTCGACCTGTCTGACTACTGGAAATCCGGAACTTGGGATATTATAGAGGTATGGATGGATGTTGTAGTTATTTTTATTAACATTTAAAACTATTATGAATGCAAATCTAGAGCAAACATTTTTATAAAACTATATAAGGTGATTTATTTAACGTAAGACACTTATTATTTCGAATATAAACGTTAGTGAACATAATATTTGTTTATATATAATTTTGAATCAATATAAAATAAGATTTTTTAAAAAAATAATACATTTTCGCTACCTAGTTTACTATCAACAGTAGTACCTGTAAGAAAAAAATGTTCTATTCCATGTTTAAATAATTTTGAAATTTGAAATTATTTTGAAAATAATATCAATCGATGGTAGGTACAGACAAATTGAACAAACAATATTTAATGGAAATAAACGAAAAAACGATATTATATAGTTTTTAGTTATAACTTATAACTTAAAGGTAACTATTTTAAGTTTAGATATGCGGATTGACATGGATACACCTCGAAAGATGTTGGACCATTTCCGTGTTCATTAAAACTTTAAATATGTATAACTAATCAACTATCCACTCGTTTGAAATTCAATTTTTATGCATCAATATACTCAGAAAAAATATTGCTTTAGAATGTAAAATTAATAATGTACCTATATCTATGTTTTCATTCAAAAAAGTAAAAACTTAAAAAAATTATAATGATAGATACAATATATAAAAATATATTTTTACCAATGATGTTGATATAAATTTAAATTATATAAAAAAATAAGATTTTCAAAAACGTTAAAAGGAAATACAAAAACTGCATGTGTTATCTCCATCTTGCTATAGACATCACAGGTAGCTAATTTAAGTTCAAAATGTTTAATGTTGTGTTGTTGGCTTTAATATTAAAGCGAATTTTATTGACCTTCATGAAACTTAAAGGTAAGACAATTATCTTTATTCTCTAGTAGTCTCGTTGGTTTTTACAATATAGTATTTTAAAGATTATTATGTTAGTCACCAATCTAAATGTTAAATACATTTTAAACAATTTTAACATTATTAATATATTTTTATCATTATTACCTAATTTATATGATCCAAAATCAAATGAATGTGCCTATACATTTCAAAAAATATTTAAATTTACTTTGTATACTTTCATAGGAGGGTAAGCTGTAAAACCAAGCTTATAATATATATATATATATATTACTTCGGTACGATCTTAAATTATTTAAAATAAATAAATCAATAGGTATTTAATAAAAATAATAATTTGTACTTTATTCCTATATTATATTATAGTATAGTGAATGGAATTATTATTAGTTTTGGCGCTATTAGTGAATGTATTTCAAAAACTAATGTTGTACTATAACTACTAGTTACCTACTATGTAAAATGAACAATTTATTGTCTTATTCCTAAAATACCATTGCATTGTACTTTTAATATTACGAAAATATAGTATGATTAAATTTAATAAAAACTATTGTAAAAATGATGTTCATTTATGATAATCCCTAATCCCTAATATTGCTACGCTTTGCGTGTTGGATCTAAGAATTCTCTTGATATTTCTATTTGATCTCCCTGGGATAATATTAACTCAATTTACAATAGAACGGCATCAGTAAACCATTATATTGTATTTTATTGTGGATAGTAAAATGTGACTTCTTGTGAACTTACGATTTATGATAGTATAATCGAAAGTAGAAAATATCACAATTCCATACATACTATAGGTAGGTACTAAAAACTGTTTTCTTGAATTTCCCAGACATTGTTCTCTTGTAAGAAGTTAAATATTTTATGTAGGTACATAGTAGAAATTTTATCTAGGTTTAATATTTAATAAGACATTATAAACATTAGGTACCTATCTAAATTGAATTTGTATCTTAACATAGGTACTTGAATCAAAATAAATCAGCAATTGTGTCCATTATACCTGTATAAAAATATTATGATAAATTAAATACTTAAACTAATAAGTAATAAATGTGTGGTGGAAACTGAAAAACAACTTAAATAGAATCGACATTAATTTAAAATGTTCATTTTTTTATTATTTTAAGTTTTCAAGTAGATAAGGTAGGTAGGTATAGGTATGCCGTAGTTTGATCGTTATCATGAACTACTTATAAATTATCACTTTATTTCAGTCAATGTTGAAATTACAAATGATTATCAACAAGATTTGAATATTTATTATATTTGTTAACTAAGAATATGAAAGTAATATCAAGTAAATATAATATGTTTCACTATTCGTAATAATTCAAATAACTATTTTTTTTTTTTTAATAAATGGCATCATAAATAACCAAATACATAAAAGATTACTCCCTGGTGCATTAATTAAATTTTTTGTTACTTCAGAAAAATAATGAAGAGAATTAAACTTCGGAATATTATTTAAATTAATAAAAAAACCAACCTTCCGAGAATTATTTCACTTCGGATAATATTATATACTTTAACATTTCACATTCAGAGTTTTCGAATATTATTATATGTACATTTTATGAATTACATAAAATGTGTTACACGATCCCCGTTAAAAATAATTTTTGAAAAAAATATCGATGACTACCTAAAAAATGTATATCAAGTTTCCGACGCAAAAACATTGAGCACATTCATATATAATATATACTGAATTATTTTTTTACCAAACAGTAGACATTCATTATTTTTAAAGGTACAAAAGTTTTAGGAAATATTTCTTTATAAAAATGTAATAAAACTAACTATTAAACAAAATTCGATTTTTATGCATCAAGGCTTACAGAAAAATATTTTGCTTAAGAATATAGAATGCATGTCGTCATTTGATAAAGTATAAAACTTATAATTTTATAACCATGAAATATAAATTGTTTTTAAAATATATTTATTTATAATGACTTAAATTATGTAAGAAAAGTATTCTCAAAAATATTTATATTATTCATGATGATGAGTGTTTAGTGTTAAAATAATGACCCTGTTTATACAAAGACAATGGTACATATTATTACAGGATGTACCCATGCATGTTACGTGTTTGCAGAAGTAAATTTATAAACCAATTTTGTTTTAATTGTATTGTTTTTTTTATTTGAAGGTACCTGCGTATCTGAACGTATACCAGGAGTCGCCTACCCAGACGGACATAACGTTCTACATAGTGATTAGAAGGAAAACTCTGTTCTACACAGTGAATTTGATACTGCCCACGGTCCTCATATCTTTCCTGTGCGTGCTAGTGTTCTACTTGCCAGCCGAAGCTGGTGAAAAGGTCACGCTGGGCATCAGCATTTTACTGTCACTAGTCGTCTTCCTATTGCTCGTCTCCAAAATACTGCCACCCACTTCTTTAGTACTGCCGCTCATCGCCAAATACTTGCTATTCACGTTCATCATGAACACCGTCAGTATATTGGTCACTGTTATCATTATCAACTGGAATTTTCGAGGTCAGTGCTCCAATTTATGTGTACTTATGGTGTGACACTATAACAGTCATACACCAACATCAGTGCCACGTTAAGAGGATGGGAGAGGGCAATTGTCATGGATGGACAATGTACATTATTTTGGAAAATCATTTTTGCTAATTGTACCTATAATATTTAATATTTTTAAATTTCTACAATAAAATGTAGGGTATTGACATTAAAACTTAACGTGACACTGAATGCCATGGTACACCTAGGTACTTTTAATTAATATGTACCTATAGTCGACTTGGTACATATATTATAGGACAGTGATACCACTGTATAGCGGACGCCGTAGGAGAATTTATTAACATATGTCCGCTATTAAGGGGTGCCCGTAAACTGAGGTTTCACTGTAATATAATATAGCTGAAATATTATATGTGTGTATTGTTGTTGTTGTAGTATTCTTACAAACGCAGCCTATAGATATTATATAATATTATGTTGTACAGTAACAATTTATTGTAGCCCAGAGCGCTTTGCGCGTACACGCCTAATTCGAGCGAACGCCTTTTTTACGCTATCGCCGCTACCACCCGCCGCAGCGGACTCGACGACGAAGACACGGCGGCGGTGTAGCGTAGGGACGAAAACCCATTAAACCAATATGAATGGAAACTGCGCACGTGTGTGTGTGTGTGTGTGTGTGTATATCATTTTAAAACAGTACGCCATATACAGTAATATTATCTGAACAGTGCCAAAACTATACCCTTTTCCAAAAACAATAGCCATAAAGCCATAATATAACCGACCGTATGACACACAAAACGTTATAATTTGCCAGTATCATTATATATTATATATATATATAGATAAATAATAATAATAATAATAAAAAAGACCATATTACGCTTTGTGAGCCTTAACCGAGGACTCGGGACCGGCGATCAAAGGGCTTTGCCACAAAGTATACATATATATTATATATATATATATATGTATATTATACATAGCGTGTACGTCAGGCCAATAATTCCGGGCATTTGGGGATGCCGCCGCCGCTTTTCCGCCACCGAAACGTGCTAGCTCACGTGAGAGTGTGCGTGTGTGTGTTTGAGTGGGCAGATGCTATGTGGATGCGCTTACCAACGCCCTTACCGTAACCGCCGCCTTCTACCCCACACCGACATACCTAAGCACATGCCCTCCGACCGAGGACTAGCGCCGTTCCGCGAACTAGACACGCTTGTTTTTCCATTTCTTCCCTTCGTAGTTTTTACAAAGATTCCAAGGATGTCACGAGATCGCCATGTCTCGTCGACGTATAATATTATATAAAGTGTTCTTGATTTCCCGCATGCACATAATATAAACGGCAGCAATAATAATAACAATAATATAAGAAGAGCGACGTACGTTCTCCGGCGGGTCAGCCCCCGTCACCCACCCATCAGCCGTCGGTTTTAAATCGTGAATTATGGTTTTTTCCTACACCGCCCTGCAACACCCATTCCACCCGGACCAACATCATCCGCACCACACTCGTGCTCGGCTGAAATGAAATTCATACTGCGAGGCAGCAATCAATAATTGGTCAACGGTTCGTGTAATACACGTCAAACATTCGATATTATATGTATACAATATAATATATATATATATAAATACTTATACACACAGATATAATGGGGCGTTTTTGTGGAAAGTAATAGCTAGGCAATAATAACGAGAGGAATACAAAACGTGGGGACTATACCTTATATTTAATATATTGGTATTTTTTTTTTAATAAATATCGTATTTTATTTGACAGCTTTTAAAGATTTATATCGGACATTTATAACAGTTGTTATTTTTGTGCTTATTGTGAATATTTCAAATAGGTACAATGTCGATACATTTTTGTGAAAAATAAACATAACTGCTTCTCTCGTGGTAGGTATTCGATAAATTTTAAATTTAATTTTTCCGGTGCATATAATGAATACGCATCTAAATTATATAAACGATTTCATAAAAAAATTACATCATTCAAACCCTCTTATTTCAAATCTATTTTCTATCGAGCTACAATGTTACAACACGTTGACTGAAAAGAAAATCGTCTAGAGACCTTCCATTCTAACCTAAAAAAAAATTTTGCCTATTATTTGGTGTGGACCTAGCATAAAAAGTCACTTAGTAGTAATTTTTTTTTGATTAAATTTTTATTTTTTTTTTTAAATAATAATATATTATATCAATTTATATATAATTATATTTGCTAACAAATTGTTATATCATAAAAAATGACTATTGTGTTATAATTGTCATTCGATAAATTATCAACTTTTTTTTTCAAATTTTACAACGATTTTTTTAGAGGATTCTAAGGACCCAAAGCACCCCCTTAGTTACGCCAATGGCTATAACCTTTAAACTTATTTACACTAATAAGGTTCTTGTGCCTATAAAGCTTTTTAGGAGCATAATCGATACACCCATGTAGGTACTTAAACATTTTTATAAACATATATGGTATATATCATTATATTGTAATTAACTATCGTCTATCGCTCTATCATAAATTATACAATTTCACTTTTCTAAATAAAAACCAAATTTAGATCATGGTTTAGTGTATATTATTTGTACAAATAATGAATTTATTTGAAATCTGAATATAGTTATACGTTTTTGTTGCTAGTATTATTAATACTTGAATAACTCAAATTAAGTTCAACTGAATGTTATAAAATATGACTGTACTTTAAAAAAACCTTTATAAGTTACAGATTAAATGATAGTATTGTTTGTCTAATATAACAAACTTTTATTTTAAGTAATAATAAGCATGGTTGTTGTAACCCGTATTCTCTCTCTGTTTTCAACATAAAAGTTCTGAAACCTTGAAGACAAACGTATTTTTTGATAGATAACCCTAATTCTCTCCAGCACAATTAAAATCTAATATCTCATATTTTCTGATGTATTGAACTTCTATAAACAAAAGAAAGGAACAATAATGTGTTTCCAATTTCAGTTCTTTCTTCCAAATGATAAAAAATATTAATTAAATTCGTATATATACATCTCAGACTATTATAAAGTTGATTAAATTGTCGCTAGTTAATAAATGTTTGTCATAAAATAAATAATTATATTTGATTTTATGAAATATAAAGTAAAATAAATAATAATATAATCAAAAGTTTAAGAAGGACTTTTTTAAGAAATGTTTAATATAATAGTATACCATAGCTCTTACATTAACTGTTTAATATTTTAAGTTTTTAGAAGGAAGGTATTTAAAAATATTTTGATTTATTTTGATTTATTATACTTTGATATTTTTTTAAGTTTTAACAAGGCATAATAATTAAAAGTTACTGCAGAGAAAATGAACCAGTGACCACACGACAGTGGTGTACCCAAAATGCCTAAGCCTAAAAAATAAAAATAACACTGTTTGATTGTTATTGGAAATACATAATATTATTTACATATTTTGTATCAAATAAATATAATTTTAACTTTTCAATCATTTAAAAAAAAGTATTTTTACTGTTCCTATTTTGCCTATTTATCAAACCTATAATAAATTCACCAAATTCTCCGTTTTTTTTTCTGATTACCATGCTCGAGCTTAGACGCTATTAACATTTAACGTCATATCCCTGAAATATTAATAAACAGATGTATTTGATCAATATATTACACTTATTCACACCGGCTTACATATAGACTATAGTACCTACTAGGGTATGACTGTACGAGAAATAATCTCCCAGGAGTATACAATACATATTATTAAAATTCAATAATTCATATTCCATTAACACATCCAAATAATACTCGTAAATACTAATCCTATTTCTTTTTAAGTTTATCATTAAATGTCGAAAATAAATACAAAACATGCCATGCGTAAGAAAATGGATTTTACAAAATGGTGAAAAACAAGGAACTTTTAGTTTCCATAGAAACAAAGAATGAAATAACAACGTATATTATGTTTTCAATGTTTAATTTAAAGTATCATTAAAAAAAATAAGCTTCAGTACCGAAATCTTAAGTAAAAAACTAATTTATAAATTAAATGCTTCAATAATATTCTGAGTAAGATAAATTAAATATAAAACAATCGATTGCTATTTAGTATTAAACAAATATTTGAAAACTTCTTAAATTGTTTCTTAACACATATATAACTTGTTTGAATATTAGTTATTAGTTATTTGGAAATAAGTGTAGCTAATTATTCATTAAGTAATTAAAATATGAATAAATTGCTTATTATCTCGAATTCGCGAAAATTGAAAGTTGTGTGTTAAAAAATCTGTGCATATAGGTTCCATAAAATATAGATTTCGATTATTATTTGTAAACTATAATCCTTTTTAGTGATCAATAATTACTGGAAATTATCGATTATTGTTTTTTTAAAATACTGGAAAGTTTGGCTGTATTCAATTCCCTCCGAAATTTTAAGAAAAAATTAGTTTTTGATATAATTTGTAGCAATATTGTTTTTTAGAATATTTGGACAAATTAACATCAACTTGTTATGAATAGATACTAATTTCAAGTGAAATAAATGATTTCAAACAAAGAAGTTAAAATAATTTTACTCTTGTGAGTGAAATAGGTATGGCATAGATTTGATGACCATATTAATTATACGTTTATATAATATTATTTACTATTTAGAATACATTGACTAAATCGCATGAACATAATATATTATAATGTGTCAATGTGTGTATATTATTGAGGCGGTGGCACGATAAAGTTATAATCTATAATGAAGCGATTAAAATATTAAATACGTATATAGTTACATACTTGCATAGTTGCATGTGAATCATTAACTATTTATTTATTGTATCAATTATAATATCTGACGTGTTTTTAAATTATAGGATAAATTTGATATTATATTATAATATATAAAAAATACCATAATATATTTATCAATTTAACGAATAATTTATTAGTTCGTAAGTTATTTTAATACATTATCATGTGATTAACAAAGACAAATATACAATTAAACTACAGTGTGGAAATGTAATACGTTGTGCGAATATATTCCGAAGATGATACCGGTTGAAATCAATATCACCGTGTTGCATACCCATAACTGTATAGCTATGAAAGTGGTGTCATTTCACACAATTTCTATGGGACTATAAATCTATAATCAGTAAGCGAAACTAATATGATTATAAAATCACGGGTATATAATACTATAACCGATAACGGGTAAACTAAAAAATAATACAATATTGTGCAAATCCATAAACTCTTGAGTACTTAGGTACTACAAATGACGCCACTGAAAGCATATTATATTTAAGTATAAAAATGTTATTATTATTTTGTCTTATTCATGTCTAACTAATCATTTTTTTTTTAATAAATACGCAACTCTATTAATTCACACAAATAAATTATAGAGAAGCACAGTCGGTATTCGTTTACCCTGTATGCAATTGCGTATTAAATCTGTCCTCAGGTCCTCGTACCCATCGTATGCCACCTTGGATCAGGACTGTGTTCCTATACTATCTTCCAGCATGCATGTTCATGAAACGGCCGAAGAAAACGCGACTGAGGTGGATGATGGAAATGCCGGGTATGAGTGGTCCTCCACATCCGCACCACACGTCGCCGTCGGACCTACCCGCGCCCGCGCCCCCGAGTTCCGCGACGCCGTCCAAACACAAGATGGAGGCAATGGAGCTGGCCGACCTGCATCATCCCAACTGCAAGATCAACCGAAAGGCAAGCGCGGAGAGGAGGGAGAGTGAGAGCTCCGACTCGCTAATCTTATCGCCGGAGGCATCCAAGGCCACCGAAGCAGTGGAGTTCATCGCCGAACACTTAAGGAACGAGGATCAATACATACAGGTGATTGATTGACCGTCTTTTATCGTGTAACGACCAACAACACTGTCTAATACCATCGTTACCATCGTACAAATAATGTAATATATTGAGCTAATAGACGCACTCTTACGACCTTGTTTGACGGTGTAAATCTGAATCATCTTAATATTACACCGATGTACGATATACCTATATTACCTCTTCACAACTTGTATTTTTGTGTAGTTACCATAAGATTTTTTTTCAAGGCACTTATCTCACATCTGAAATAACTGCTGATTCGATATTCATATTTGTGTGCATCGAAATACTCAGGAAAAATACTCCTCGTCACAATATAAAATTTAAATTTTAAATTTAATTGTTTTCAAAAATGTGTTTGTCATGATTTTAAAATTAAGTAAAAAAATATTTCAACAACACATACATTTTAAAACTGGGAAAATTACTTGTGATAAAACAATCATACTATCTAAGCGCGATTTGTAGCAACCAGTGAGTGTTTGGAAATATGGCAATCACGTGCGCTTCATTTTTATTTCTATCGAAATGCGATGTCTGAAAACCATTGTAAAGAGTACCTACATAATAATATACGCCTGCAGACTGCAGGATTTTATATTTCGTATGTAGGCTTACTACAGTGATTCGTTTTCCGAAAACATTACCTCACGTTCACCAAATATTACCAGTCCAACGGCTGACGCAATTTTCGTTTTTTTTATGTGTTCCTAATGCTTTAAATTTAGATAGCTCGATGTGCGATGGAGCTATTTTTAATTGTATACCTACTATTTCACATCTTTTTATAAAATTAAAACATTCTCAATTATGTAAAATTATTTCATTGAGCTCAAAATGTAAATACTCCGTGGCACTTTATTTATTCTAACTACAGTCTGCAAGTATACAATGAATAATGACTTGACGTTTTTATAAAGCTGGACAGAAATTCTTATGCACATAACGGACTCGCTTCGCTCATCTCAGTACATTGGTGTACTTGTTTTTTTTCTTACTACACGATTTCTAAAAACTATTTCTTTAAAACCACGTCTGCTTGCTTACATTGCTAATCTTTGTTTATTATTTTCACAGTTTTCACGAAAAACTACTAAGAAACTTCAAAACTGACTTATTAAGGGACAATCTGTGTTCAATTTCCAATCTATATATGAAGTATTGCATGAAACTTCGGGTACCTTTTTACACGAAACTACGAAAGTGTTGTAGAAAAAAAACAAATTCATTGTAAATCCACCCTCTATTGCCACTCAAAATCATAAAGGAAACATATGTTCTGGGGATTTTTCAACAACGATATATTTTTGTATTAACATTTATTTTTATTCTCAATTTTTCCTCTCTTAGATATATTTTAGTTTACAAATAGAAACGATTTATGATTGCAAAGCACATTTTATTCTGACAGTTTACTTATTTTTCTCTCCCACCCTTTTAAACTTTCTTTATAAAGAATTATTTTTTTTATTGAATCTCATACATTTTCATCGAACACTGACACATACCTATTGTTAGTAAATAGTTTAAAAAATATAACCAACAAATTACTCAAATACATTCGTTTTTTAGTTTTGTCTGAAATATAATTTTATTACAGATTTAAAAGCATCGCATGATAACATATACTATTTTACCTATAGGCTATATTATATACTAGGTATAATTTTATACTTACAAAAAAATTCACGATGTACCTAGTTAGTATATTAAAATTAATTAATTCAAATTGAAATTAAATTACTCTGATCAGCTTAAAAATACAACAAGTAAATAATGTTTGAAAATTTAAATTGCATAATAAAACCATTTAGATAATTGAGAATATAGTAGCCTGTAACTGAGTTTATAAAATAAGATATATGTAATAAGTAATAACATAAAATTAAAATTAGTTGGTACCTAACGTATAGTGATGTGACATTGTGAAACCAATTACGATACGTAGGTATTTATATGGGGAAAACATAGTATTTATCACGTGTTCTATAGTTTAGAATGCTAATCTTTGAGGGTATTCCATTTTATAACTTATAAGGCAATTTAACATTAATAATTTGTTTTATTATTTAATAAATTATGATTCATGAATAACAATATAATCATTCGGAAACCTAGTTCGGTCAATGGTTATAGAATGAAGAGACTTATTAAATTAAAAATAAAGAATTTAAGACAATGCCTTCCAAAAAAAACTAAAAAGACATATATCTATACTGGAAATCAAAAATGTTAATGCATAGGTATTATAGTGGATTACTAGTCTTCTACTAGTCACTCTACTACACTAGAATCAGTACCTACCTATACTTACAAGTCACTTGCAACAAAAAGCAAGATATTTTTATTCTCAAGAGTGAAATATTATATATGATAATATTTAACAATATTCAATATTATATAGTTAAAAAAGTTATACTGATGGCCGATAGATATTCATGTATAAAATCAACAAATTTATGAAACAGGTTGCTCGTTGATTAACACATAAATGGGTATTGGGTATATAAAGCTTGAATTGATGAGTGACCATTATGGCGATTGCTATAAATTACTCACTCACTCGGTGGTGGTGGGGTCTCTCTATACCACTACCTCCACTTTTTTGATTGCAGATAAGAGAAGACTGGAAGTACGTAGCGATGGTTATTGATCGGCTGCAGTTGTATCTGTTCTTCTTTGTCACCACCGCCGGCACCCTTGGCATACTAATGGATGCCCCTCATATATTCGAGACTGTCGACCAGGACAAAATCATCGAAATCTACGGCGGAAAATAAACATTTAAGAAATAAAAAGATTTATAGATGAAAATGCTCAAGTTAGAACTAATTTGCTTCAGAGGAGTTATTTAAAATAATAATAATAATTAAAATAATAATTTCATTATTTTAAAATTAATGAACAAAAAAAACAGTACTGTATAACCATCGTGTTGTTATTATTAATATAAAAATACAACTTAGTTAGTTTAAGTGCCAAAAAAAGAAATGTTATTTATTACTATTGTGTAAAATAATTAATGATGTTTAAGAAAAAAAACAAATAATATTACTAATATTTTTAGATTAGTGTTAAAGTTGGAATGAACAGCTCGCGAAAATGTCTCGAACGTCCGTACGTATACTGTTTGTATTGCAAAAATATCCTAAGGGGTTTTGAATGTGCTCAAATCGTTCATTTTCCAAGCACAACACACAGGGGGGTGATTTATCACAGATTCAAACCAAATTTATTTTGTCCTTTAGAATTTCTCGTATTTCCGCTGCGTCCCTTCCAATAACGCACCGGTATGCTGTGAACCGCTCACCCTGTGTAACTCCAATGTGCCAATATCGTTGACGTGACAGATGATAAACTGAATTTTTTTTGCTCAAACTCGTCGCGTATAATATGTAAACAAAATAAATGGCCCAAAATTATTATTTTATAGGTTTTTCTAACGACAATAATTAAAAAGAAAAGCCGAAACATATGATTACTACCGCAATGTTTGTTTATAATTATAGTTTAATTTGTTTATCATAAATATTTCCTCATCTAAATATATTAAAATCTTCGCTCAAATATTTTTCGCTTATGCTGTACTATAGACGATGACGTCCGGGACATATTCGTCAAATTTTGAACCAACGTTTGGTGTACATAACTATTATTGTTATATTTTTTTAGTTTTTTTATTTCTCAGTATAGTAGAAGTCATTCCGTGCCCGGTTTGTCTAGAACACTCAAATTATGAACATTATATAAGAATAACTTTGCGCGGTCTACTATTATATTATAATAATGATAATATTATACGTGTTTGAATGTGCCCAATGATTGTCTGGGTGATGGAGCTAACCGGGCTAATATTACTGTCCATAGGTTAAATCCAACGCTGGTTTCAAAATGGTCGTATATACAAATTAATCGTTAGAAACCGTTTGCAACTTTCTAGCATAACCTATGTTATAATCAAATTTATATTAAATACTAATATCTAATCATTTATTGTTATTATTATTATTATTATTATAGTGTGCACTAACGGCATACGGCTCACGTTAGTTGTATACTAGAATTTAGTTTATTTTATTATTTCATTAAAAAAAAAACAAATTAATTTGTTTTTATTTTTGTTTTTTGTGTAGTGTGTGTTGCAAAATTTTGGTGTACGTACAATTTTGTTACTGCGTTTTAATATTATAATAATGTTACAACCCTTGAAAAGGGAATTTTTTTTAAGTATTGTATAAAAATAATAAATATAGTTAAGTCATGGAAGATATACAACACAGCTGTTACAATCATCCGTGTACACAATAATAATTTAATTACAAAAAAAAAAAATTAAGAAATTCAGACAATCTCATCCAATTGTAAAATGTTTATGTAATTTCTGTTTGTGTTGGCTAGTGTATAAAAGATAACAAATGTTAAGAATAAAAACAGTTCGTTATGTGCCATTGCACAATGTTTGAAACGAATCGAACAATTTAAGAAACAATATTGTTCTTATTTAAGTATCTAAGATCGTTTAAGATGTTGGATAATGTTTTGGCTTATTTTTCGTTAATTTATTTTACAATTACTTTGTTCATAAGTCAAATAATGCAACAAAACTGAAAATAACGAATTATAAAAATATGATGTTTGTTTTTTTTTTTTTATTTTGATCTAGTCGTTTATTTGTTATTAATTATTATTATTATTATTATTATTATTATTATATAATTGTTAAAAAAAAAGTCTGGTATTATAATGGATATTTAGTATCTGCGCAATAAAATTCATATTTAGCGACATTTATTAAATTGAAACTTGAAACAATTTTTTTTTATATGTATAATTTAAATAGATAGGCTACATTATTCGCATTTTTACAAGTAAAAAAAAATGTCTGAACAAAATGTGTTGTGAAACAGAATAAAAAAATTAAATAACTAAGATATATATAATATAAATTTGTAAACGTTTTAAAATAAATTATAGCCAAATAAATTAAACAAATTTATTGCTTGAAGTACAGTGTTTTTTTTTTAGTGAGGTTTATAAATACATAGTATTAGTTCTTAACTATTTTACTATAAATAATGTAAACGTTATATACTTTTAATTTATTAAATCAAATTCAAATATTATTTTTTTAAATGTTCATTGTAAAGTGAACGAATTAAAATACAAATACACGGCAATTTTATATTCCAGATTTTAAAACTAGATTTTCCATTATTTTGGTAATCAATATTTTATCACATTTCACATAAATACATAATATGTACCTACTTTTTAAAAATACTTAAAAAGTAGTAATTAAAATTCGTCTATTCTACGTTATCGTGTTATAATTCGTCTATTCTACGTTATCGTGCACTGTCGACCTTGATACACTTCGAGAACGTTCACTAAATAATATTATTTAGTAACCGATTAGCCCTGAGAGGTGTGTCCCGGGAGAAAACGCCGTGCGATATGACGTATAGGCAATTCACCGTCACAAGTGATCGCGGGTCATGTAAATTCGTCGTTGTCGGCGTAAGTCCGGTGGGCGCTGTCAGCTGCACGTCGCGGACGGTGCTTGTAACCGTAGTGGCTGCTTGTTGATTTTCTGCTGCGGTGGAGATTCCGAACCTCTGATTGGCTGAACAGGATCGCTTATAAGATGGTCGCGGCGGCTGGTGTCTTCGTAAGTCTTCCTTCTTAAAATTCAATTCAGTCTGTTGTATAGTTTGATTGAAGTTTTGAAAGTTGATGTGGAAGTGGAAGAAGTTGGTTTTGTCGGTTTTTTGCTTTGTTTCGGTGGCCTGGGGCCTATTAACTATACCAGGCTCGGGGCCTATTCAAGTAGAGGGAAGTTTTTGAAGGAGTTAATGGTTTAATATGGGTTGATCTTCATATGCCCATAAGAAGGGTCTAGGAGCTTTTGATATAATCTGGTCTGTTGTAGAAAGGCCTAAAGTTTGAATATGGATTGTTGATTGGTGTAAAAATTTGTTCTCGATTGTTGTTTGATGGTTTGTTCGATTGTGATTGAATTGGTTTGTTTGAGTAGAACGTTGTTTCTAAGATATTGTGGCATGCCCGTTACCATCCGTATGGCTATTGTTTGGAGTGCCTCGAGTTGTCTCCATTGGGATCTGGTGACGAATGGAGCCCATGCTGCGCCGTCGTAAGTGATAATTTGTATAATATACATTTTTAAAATTTTCAGGCGGATATTTAGTGGTAAATGGCTACTTTTGTTGATTACCTGGTATGGCATACCTCTTGTTTGCGTGGCACGCTGTTTTAAGTTTGAAATGTGGTCCCGCATACCAGGTCCTCTTGACCTGGTGGTCCCTTTGGTCCTTGGTGTTGGAACACCAGTATATAAACACATTACCGTACCGACTAGTAAACGGTTTGTGTATTCGGTTTAGCTGGCGTCTGGTTGCGTCAACGTTTCCGGTGATAACTTCTCTCCCCTTATTCCGATTAGGTCGTGGACGGTGTCTATGGATGGGTATTTTTATCCTCTATCCGATGATTTCACCCTTGACCTCGTTACTTTTTGTCTTCCTCGTCTTTTTCCTTCTTTTCTCTCCTTTAGACTGTCTCGTATCTTCTGTCTTATGTTGGTGGCAGTGCTTTTTTCTTTCGGTGAATTTGGTAATACCTCTGGATAGGTATTTTCTTCCCCTATCCATTGTAAGTTGTATTTCAGTTGTTGTTTTTAGTGTTTTCTTAATAAAGGCCTGTGATTGGTCGTTATTTGTCCATATTATTTGTTGGTCCTGAGAAGGACTGTTTTAATTGTGCCATGATTCAAACTTTGTAGTTTAACCCAAATTGTTGTTACCAGTTGAATTAAATTAATAAAATTGAATTCAACTTCCAGTCAAGTAAATCGTATTCATTACTAGAAAACTTAAATAATAGGTACCTTCGTACCTACTAACAAAATCTGATTAGACGTATTTAATATGTGGTGCGTGGGTACCTATTGGTTATTAAAATAATAAATACTCTGTTCATAGTACCAACCTATACTAAATTAGGTCCATATTCATAGTCGAAGCTTAAGAGTAAGTATTGCTTAAGCTATACTTATGACTTATGAGTTATGACTCAACTGAGATTCATAAACGTGACTTTGGCTTAAGAAAAGAAAAATTATTACTTGTTTTTAAGGTTGATCGAGACGATTAAAACAAATTTTTTATTTTTTAAATTATCAAAATCAGAATTCTTATTCTTAAGCATCGAGTTAGATTATACCTACCTAGGTATCTAATAGATGAGACTGAATTAAGTTCATTATTGTTTATACAATAAGTAAAATGAATATGTTCACGAGACCTATAGAAGCACTTCCAGTATAGTATTTATTAATGTTTAAGCTCATTCCCAAAGCCTGGCACCAATTATATAAGATATTTAATTCCTCTTGGCGATTTAAACAGTCACTAATTGAAGAAATATGAAAATAGACTTTTAGATCATCAGCAAAAATAAGAAGTGGCATTTGTTTAAAACTGCTGATATACCTAACGTTTATGAATAAAATATATAGGATAGGTTATAAATGGCCACCTTGAGGAGTCCCCCATGAAACTAGTATTAAACTAGATGAGAATCCAAGTGCTCCCAGCTCCGATAAATTTAGACCTATTTGTCAAGTACGAATTAAGCCAGGACAATAAAAGATCACTAAAACCTAATTAATCTAAAGCAATAGAGAGTAATTTATGATCAACGCGATCAAAGGCCTTCTCAAAGTCCGTGTATATTACATCAACTTGGCTGTTATTTTTAAAAG